AGAAATCTCAGCTAAAAATGTTTTAAACATTATTAGTTGCCATAACAGGAAGTCAAGGGGAAGACAGATGTCATGGATTATTGATTTAGAAGTTTAATGATGTCATCAGGGACTTTAGTTCTCTCCATTCCTTTGCTCTGCTGTTCACATTGCTGGCTTCAGCCTAAAACGGTAACCCTTGGGATCACATAAAGGCTTTCTGCAGCACATGAGAATATGCCGTCTTACTAACATCCTGTGGAAGGGAGCCTCTCACTCACCCAGGAAATATGGTCCTATCTCTGAATGTGAAGTTAAAATTTCAATAACCAGGAGAATGACATGTGCTTGTTGATTTAAAGAAATCATGAATCATCACTGAAATTGAGGATGGAACCAGTTCCTATGAAATGAATTGGACTGATTAGTTTGTCAACATCTGAGCAAACTGAGGTTGGGTTAGGCAGAGAAAGCAGGGAATAGATTCAAGCTAGGCAAATAACCATGCTTTCTAAGAGTGTGGGTCTGACTTGTCCAAGTGATCTTAAGTACATTCCTCATATTCCCTTATCACAACACTAGCGCTAGAGCTCACAGGTGGCAGGTGCTAAACAGATGCTCCATTGTCCCCTGATGGGGAATTTGAAGGAAGCATCCCTACTATAGACTATATCCCTACTATAAGATATGAGGGAGAACTGAGCAGTGAAGAGTAAATATTAAAATGCTGGCAAAAACTGACTAGTTTTCTTGGATTTAATAATAACCATGCTGCGCAATATAAAAATGTATAGGAAAAGCTTTAAAAAATTAGATGGTAGGGCTCACAGAGATGCTGTGGATCATAAAACATAATCTGTGCAATCAAAAATAATTTCAAAATACATCAAATTCTTTATTTAGACTTGGAATTACAACGAGGAATTACAACACCTGGAAATACCTTTTGTGTTCCTCCTTTTTTTTCTCTGCCATCCTTAGCCTTTATATACTTGTCCATTCTTTTGTCTCCCCCCATGAAATTAACAGTTATCTTCTCCTTCCACCAGCCCCTGACACTTTTACTCTCTCTTCCCTATGCAATCCTTTACCCTTGAGATTTCTGATCACTATTTAGAAAGTGGAAAGGACTGTGTGCATTTTTATATTGAAATGTCCTTTCAAGAAGAAAATTAAAGGGGAATTACAATGCAAGAATGTAATTACCAAAATTAGTTCATTGTCCCCTGTTTGCAAAGAAGATATACCACAAAATAATGAGTACAGACAAAATTTATGAACCTGTGTAAGTATGATTTGGTAAGTAATGCAGAATGTATTTGCTGTCAAACTGGTGGAAATTGTAATTAGCACTCACATGTCCTTATAACCAAATGATATTTTTTGCTTGTGGGGTAATTGGAGGACAAGCAATAGGTGAGACACCTGCAAACACAACTACTGAGAGAAAGGCTGTCTCTAGGTTAAAAAAAAGGAAGACTCAACAGTATAAGTATATATCATTTCTCCCTAAATAAGCTTTTCAATTAAATGCCATCCTAATCAATACCCCAGTGAGAAATTGAAACTGATTCTAAAGATCATCTACTGCAAATGTACAAAACAGCTGCTTGAGGGTTTCTTATTTTTGTAAAAGTAGATATTATGTTAATATAAAAAATAATAGAAATTAAATATATCACCAACTAAAAATAATAATAAAGATAGGAGAATGTATGAGTCTCTATTTTATACAAAGACACTATCATTCCTGGCTTCAATCAAAATATTATCAAATGTCATTATCTTTTAAACTAAAAAGTAAAATGCAGATTCAACAAATTAACAAAAATAGCACAGTTTTATAATGAATTGTTAATGAAAAAGATTGTGAAGCATAAAAATTACCAACTATATCTTGAGCACTTACTTGTGTCAGACATGTCTTTCTATTGATACAATACTTCCACTAGCTTTGCAGTGTTGGCAATATTTAAGTCATACAAGAAAATTATAGATTTTTCTATTAAGAATGATTTCAAGTTCATAAAATATCATATCAAAACACATCCAAATTAAAAAATAATTGGTACCTTTTGGAGGTACAGCTTTACATAAAGAATTAATAAGAATACATATATACCTCATTTGAACTCCACAAATATTTTATGTTAGGACATTCTGTATAAATCAAGATAAATCAAGAAATTAATTTAAAATGAGTTATTTAAAAGAAATCTTAATCATATTATTAAAATGTTCCCTCTGCTTTCTATTATAATCAAACCATGAAAGTAGTTTTATTCACTAAAGATTTTGGGCACACATTTTATTACTGAGGATTTCAAAAAAATTACTGTATTATGTACATATAAATAAAAATGAGTAAACCTTTTCTGTCACCTTCACCACAAAATTAATAGCCTCATAGAAACAAGTCAATAAAGAAAGAGAGATACTCTACATAGAGAATTTTATCATATGGAGATAAGTATATATGTATGTTTAAGCATGCATTTAAGGGGGTAAAGCTACAGTTTTTAAAGATAAATTAGATTAACAGTATAAGCAGACTAAAGCTGAAATAAGCAGAGACAATCAGTTATGAATAATTGGCAAGGGACATTGAACTATTCAGATAATTAAAGCTAATCTATTTTTTTTCCCTAATTATATCTCCATCTGACCTCAGGGTCTGGTCAGTTTCCCTTGACAAGCTATTAGATTGGCTTTCAGATATTCCAAAGGGCTTCAGGGATTTCTGAACTGTCAGAGAACAATGTCAATATCAAGAACTAATAGAATCTATCATAGCTGAATCATGTTGCAAGATTTAGGAAACAAGATGCTGACAAGAGTGTTGAAATAGGCAGCAAATAGGATCAGGTGCTTGGACTGAATGATCCCTTGATTCCATCCCAAAGCACCAGGAGGAGATAAGTATATCCTAGGCATAACAAGTAGTTTTCTGAAATTGATCCAGAGTCAACCTTGTTTAAGGCAAAAACTTCAAATATATTTATCTCAAGATAAGACACTAAATTAGAGGAACATAAGTCAGAGGCCAGCAATTCCCCTAACTTATTATTGCTTTTTATGCTTTGGGGGATTAAATAATGACCCATGATGAAAATACTTCTGTTTTTATTCTCCCTGGTTCCAATAAGGAATAATTTAAAGCAGTGACAATTTATGCTAGTTTCAGTCTGCAAATATAAGGTGCTGATCTGAGAAGCTGTGATTAAATCATTTGTGTGTTTGACAAAGTCTAGTGAGGGAGATACATACAATACCTGGCCTCTATTTATTCAAATTTTCCATCATTCATTTCTTCATTAACTCAATTAGCATTTTCCAATAGTGCTTGGTTTTGGGAATACAACAAATTCTCACTTAACATAGTTAATGAGTTCTTGGAAGCTGTAAGTTTAGGAGAAATGACTGTAAGAAAACTACATCCTCTAACAATATCTTTCTGTTTTATGTCAGACAGATTTTTTTCCTCATCAATGTTATATTAACACTAAGTTGAATTAAACAATGTTATTTGGGGGCTGGCTGAACAACTGTGTACTAGAAAACAATATTCCTCCTCACAGAGAATATAGGGAGAGTTTCCAAGAATAAGAAATTAAAATTAAATCATGAAAACTGCAATAACAGGAGATAATGACCAGATTCTCAAAATCTTTATAGAGGAGTTAATGAATGATGTGAACCCTGTAACAATGAACCAAGAAAAAGGTGTGTTTATAGTTAAAATGTGTAATGACGGTTAGAGTGAGATGGAGGGGCATGACATCAGAGGTATTGGGGGAAGAGTGTAGTGATAGGCATTGTAAAGTCCAAGGTAACTATCTCACAGCTGTGGAGATGCGCCCTGTTGAAATGATCAGAAACAAGTGTTAGCAAGGATGCGGAGGCAAAAGATATTTCACATACTGTCAGTGGGAATATGGACTCATCCAGCCCTATGAACTTAGTACAAAATTTTCTCAAAATATTTTAAAAAGATCTGTCATATGATCCAGCAATTATATTCTTAGGTATCTACCTGAAGAATGAAAAAATACTAATTTGAAGGGAAACATGCACGTCTATGGAAACAACCTAATTCATCAAGGACAGAGGAGTGAACTAAGATGTGGTATATTTACATAATGGCATACTACACAGCTATAAAAAAAAGATGCACTCTTGCTATTTGCATCAACATGAATGGAACTGGAAGGGACTATGTTGTGAAATAAGCAAGAATGAGAAAGACAAATACTGGATGAATTCACTTATATGTAGAATATAGAGAAACAAAACAAAGAGTCAGACAACACCAAACCAAAAACAAACATCAGTAATAGGACTATAAAATTGAGGCAACATGAAGAGGAAGTGGAGGGTGAAAGTGGAAAGGGGGGGGAGACACAGTGGACTATCGTAGAGGACTATGGGTGCCTTAATGGTAGGTGCGATGTGGTAACATACACCTGGAGAGGTAGGGTCCTATACTTCTGAATCACAAACAGTGTTGTAAATGGAAGGAAGGAAGGAAGGAGGGGAAGAGGAAGGGAAGGAGGGAAAAAGAGAAAGGAGGGAGGGAGGAAGTAAAGTACAAAGGAAGGTCAAAGGCAAAAGATAGTGGCTTGTTTAGGGACTAAAATTTTCATTCTAGCTAGATCTTATATATGTGTGTGTGTGTATATATATAATTTTATATGTAACTTTATATGTTTACATACAGCATAAACATAATTTCCAGTATTATATACAATGCAAATATACAACATATAATGTAAATATATATGTACACAGATATATGAACTTGCATAAGCACAAGGCTTGAGTTAAGAGACAAATATAAACCCAAGAACACATAAACATTGGCAAACATTGTTTACATGTTGTTTAAAAATACACACTTTTATGAGATATTTGTAAATTATGACAATATAGCCACTCTAAAAAGAGCAGCTGTTACCATGGATATGATAGAATCAGTTGGTAGACTAGAGAAGACAGAATCAATGGGCACTGTTATGGGGAAAAGAAGCATTGGCGAGCTGGAAGGCGGGAGAATGAGCACTATATACTCTGCTTGTTAGTATTTAATTCATTTACAACTTACATGAATTATAAGAACATGAGTTGTATAAATTGATAAACTATATTATTATTATTTACCTAGAAATTAGTTGCAGTAATGAGCTGAAATTCACATAAATACTATGTGGTTATTTTCTGTTCTGAATACTTCTGGAGGTACAATGTACAAAGAGAAGAAATGCTAAGTCATGTAATGTATCTTTTGAATGTTGGAGAAAAACACAGAAAGTAACATGTTTGAACATTTTTAACAATTTTAAGAACTGACTTGCAACTTAATGGTATTTTATTGTTAATGCAACATCAAAAATGCAATCATGTGCATGTATTAAGTAGACATGTAACACAGCCTGTCACTCAGATATACTCAGCTGATTACTGGTCCTTATTGTAATACACAGTTTCAACCCATCTCTCATGAACCAGTATGTAGCATTATGTAGAAAAATATGCTTCAGATTAAGACAGTCATCTGAATCATTGAACAAAATAAGTCACTTTTTACCTGGAGCGCTGCGGGAGTTGATAAAATATCATTCGATTCTGGAACTTGTGATGATTTGGAAAAGCTGTCTTCAAGTTTGCTTATATATTGTCAGTTAGGAAAATGAGCTTCTACACAAGTTAACAATGTGAACAAGTAGATTCTAGTCTGCATAAGTCAAGGGCAAGTAACTATTCTCATATATGTATAAACCCAGTTGAGGAAAATAAAATTGTACACATATGACTATATTATGATATATATTATCATATATATCATAATATTATCAAAAATATACTAATACTAATAATCTATTATTTATACAAATATTTTGTGACACTATATTACTAATGTATAAATTCTCTATGAAATATTCCAATTCCTCATATTTACTACCTTACTTTATTTGAATGTACTAATATTATATGGAATCTAATAAATGGCTTGAAAAGAATTTGCTGCCAGTATTTACTCATCTTTTAATTTTCAATGTTAGAGATTTATTGTCAAATTGTTACAACCTTATAAGTATAAATTAATCATTTCTTCTGAATTTAATTATTTTAAATGATTGTCTCACGTGCCTCGAGTTTTCTAGTCCATATTGAATTATTTATGCATACTGCATGAAGTCATTTTAGCTATAGATAAGTCCTGTGGTCTCTCTCCCAACTTGCCCTTTTCTAAATCCGCATAGATTTTATCTTGCCTATCTATCTACTGACTCACTATAAATCACTTCATCACTGGTTAATTTCTCCCTGATACAACATAAATACCACCTGTGAGAAAACTTCAAATCAGAGATGTTAAGAACATGATGATGTCACACAGCTAGTAGTGGAGAAGTCAAGAATGGAACTCGTGTGTTAGCTCCAAATTCATAGGCACAACCACTGCCGTAAGCAGCCACTGCATATCTTCTGATATCAGTCACATCTATTCCCAGAGGCCTATCACTGACATCAGGCTTTCACTGATATCAGCCTTTTGAGTTTTAGAGTTTTTCCATATCTTTTTAAAATAAGACAATGGTCACTATGCTTTTCAATATGAAGTGATATTTATTTTTGTATGATTCTTAAGCAGAATCTACTCCCCTGTTATGCCATATTCACCTGCATTTTTTTCCATAAGTATTTTTCTGCCCCAATAATTTGTGAACTCTTTAATGATAAGAACCACCTGGCTGTGTTTTTAATCCAATAAATTAATTATAGTTGCTGAAAAACTGTAAACATAATAAGCTATCAGTTTTGTTCAAAGACAAATTTTTACTACATACATATTTTCAGGCTTAAAATTTTTCCTAAAATTTTTTAAATTACAAAAATTATATCTTCAAATACATTGTAAATATTTTCCTTTTTTTAAAGAATCATTTATTTATGCATACAAGAGCTGGGGTACAGACCAGAGGTGCGGGGGGTGAGAGAATCCACCAGAGAGAGAGTGGGGAACAGAACAGGCAGATTGACCAAAGTACCCTGTTGAGGGGAGCAGCGGGCTAGACAGGAGAGGTCTGTGGGCCGTTCCCTGGCCAGCTGCGGATCGAACTTGTGCTACAGAGGCTGTAAACCGCTTCACAGTGCGGCACTTAGCCCCTTGCACCACCAGGGGGGCACCATTGTAAATATTGTCATAATTTCAGTAGTAATTTGTATAGTATCTAGATCAAAATGAAATATCTTTAATAAAGATCTAGGACAGGAGAGCAGGGAGGGAGGAGAAACAGCATATACACTGTAATAACTACAGGAATAAGTGGATATAGGTGTTAAATTTGCAAAGATGTCTGGCACAGAAGTAGGGAAAGATTTAAGCTTTGATTCTCAGGTCTCAGGACACCAGGGTTAGACTATTATGAAAGAAAGATCAGAGCTCCCTTATTATCACAAGCAAAAATGAACTTAGGAGAGCAGAAAACATTCAATGGGCATGAGTTGATTTGGGGAGGAGAATAATTTTAAACTGAAATGTGTTTTATCTTTATATCCAAGTCTGATGCAACTGGACACAAGTTTTTCAAAAAACAAAAGCTATTAAATATTGAATAAGAATGGGTCAAATATAAATTCTGTAATATCTGGAATATTGTTTAATAGCTGAAAGACTCCTGCTCCCAAGCTCCCATGAGAAATGGAAATTTTTTGATGTTTTGTATTAGGGAGAGAAACACAAGGACAAAAAAAAGTTAGCAGAAAACTACCAGCAATTCTGAAAGAAGTCATACTATTCTGAAAGGAAAATATCCCTAGATTTGGACACATAATGGGAGGTTGCAGAGAACTGGGCAGTGACATAGCAGAAAAACCGACATCCACAGGTGACAGAGATGAACAGCAAAGTTGCTCAGTAGAACAGCCAGTCACTCCCTGCCAGCATATGGAAGGAACTATTGGAAGAAGTTGGAATCCCAGCAACTGGGCTGGGTAAAACTTAAGATTAAGAGTATGCTTGCTACTCTCCTTTTTTGTGATCATATCTTCTTCATTGATGTGTTAGGTAATGGAAATGTACATGCCACACCACATAAAATAAACATTAGGGGCTTTCCTGACTGAGTCTCAGGGCCTGAGTTCAATCCTGGCCAAGGAGCTACCCACATGGCGCAGCAGACCTCTCCTGTCTTCCCTGCTGCTCCCCTCAGCAGTGTATTTCAATCAGTCTGCCTGTTCTGCTCCCCACTCTCTTTGGTGAATCCTCTCACCTCCCAAACCTCTGGCTTATTCCCCAATTCTTATATACATAAATAAATAAAATCTTAAAAAATATAAAACTACAATAAACATTAAAAGTGCAACAAATATGTCATTATTCAGCTATTAATTTTAAATGTTTCTGTTAATTATTAGAAAAAAACAGCACAAAAATACTGTGATATGATCTGTGCCACAAATCTGTTTTTTAAAACTCAGCAAGAGGATTTTCTGTTGTCCTATGACTTCAGAGAACTTCATGCATAAATTCCCTGCCTGACATAATCTTTTAAAATGAGCCTCTCAGTCTAATGCCCCGCCTTGTCCACAGTATGAGGTACTGACATGGACCAAGAGTCTTGCCTCTACTTTTAGTTTGGGCTTGAGTTTTTTAGAGTTTGTTATGCAGACTTCTCCTGACCCCTTTCTAGTCTCCACTTGCTTAACGTCACCTTCTAAGTAGCTTACCAAAAAGACACCAGCTGACTCTGTTGCAATAAAACTAGTCTCATCGGATAGGAAGAGGTCAAAATTAAATTTTCATCCTGGGTGAATATTTTGCCCAAATGTGAATGAGCAGGTTTAACTATGAAGAATTTAAAGTGCAGGCAACAATCCTTTAATAAGTTGATTTATTTCAGACTGTTCACTAGCATCCACCACTCTCCTATGTACCTGCTTGGTTAATTATTTCTCCCTGTTACACTATAAATTCTACAATGTAACCCAGCAGCATATTCTTTCTTAAATAAATCATTATCCTTTGTCAAAGGAGTGCATAATTGCAACAAAATAACAGTTCAAAATTGCTTACAATTGGAGTTTTACATATGACAAATAGAGAAGAGAATAATTGCCTAAAGACAATGTATAACCTTGATTTAAATGACTTATTATGCACACTTTGCATATACGCAGCAAAAATAATCTTCTTCACTCTAAATAGTTTCCCTGCTGACAAATGAATTTGTTTAGGTTGAAAACCGTATACATCTATAATTCCCTTGTCTGTTTTACAAGTTTATCTATCTTATATCCACTCCCTTTTCACCTTATTGCCCTACTGTTTAATAGAAGATAGTTTTTCATTCAAGTTAACTTTTAAAATGAAATTCAATTAAGCTTGAGGAAAATAAAGAAGTAAATCATAAAAATAGGGAAGATAAAAGCAAGTTAAGAGTAGTATTCATGTTCTTTGCCTCCCTCAAAATGTATACACCATTAGTGCCTTAGTAATAGTTATATAAAGGGGTAGGTAATAGCATAAACTGCTTCTAAATAGCATTTAATGTCCTTAGACCCTCACATTACATATATTCCAATTAAGTAAGCTACAGTTTTGCTTTTTTTCCTTTCACAAAAGGGAATGATAATTGTCTGAATGCTTTTGAGAGTTTGGCAAAGGCATTTTGGAAATTTACAATTAATCTTGAGAGTTAGAGTCCTTATAAGTTTTTCCTCCTATCTGAAATGAACTAGAAACCAAATGAAGTATTGTGAGAGGGATGCCTTATTCCTCTCGAATCCAAACACTATTAAGCAGGAAAGAAAAATGCTAATAAGAGAAAGGACAAACCAAAAAGATTTTAAAATACTTGAGAACACTTATCATGCTTTGTTATTATTATTACCTGCCTTTCCTTTAGTAAAATGCAGATTCTAACCATCAACAAGTTATATTTAGAGCTTTGCAGATGGCGGTCAGTATTAATAGATCTGCTTACTTGTACCAACCTGTTGGGAAGTCCAAAATAAAAATTACTCAATGATGACCTATAAGTAGAGAGGATAGATCTAAGTGGTCTGAAAAT